TTTTTTTTTTGTTAGTAGAGACAGGGTTTTACCATGTTGACCAGGCTGGTCTTGAACTCTTGACTTCCAGTAATCTACCTGCCTCAGCCTCCCATGTTGCTGGGATTACAGGTGTGAGCCACCATATCTGTCCTTACAATATCTTTAATTATTAAATGGCCAGTGCTTTTTTTCTCCAAACTTGTCATTCTTCAAAATCAGGAGATGTCATTTTAAGTAGCGTCAAGTGCTGTGAGATAGATATGACTGATATAACAAATTATAAGGTGACATTCATCACATGGAATCCATGGCCTGAATGAAAGGTTAGGAAAACTATGGGTTTCTAATGAGAAAGTCAAGTTTAATTAATTATCCTCTGAATAGATTTGCATTGGGGGTTTGGCTGCTGAAGCTTAATAGCTAATTACAAAGACTGCCAGTGAATAGTGGGTAATCTGCATCCCCAATTTCATGCTGGAGATGTCATAATTGCTATATATCACAGGACAGCAAGGCAGAGCAAATGGATACATGCTGCAGCTTTCTAACGGCATCCCATAATACTGCTCTGAGAGTTGAAGGAAAGGTCCCGGTTGTCAACCACAGATTGTGGTGAAGTAAGCAGTTTCAAGTAATGCTACGTATCCAATTGCCTTTGAATCACAGAACCAGAGAGATTACTGGCCAGCCTCTAGCTGATCGCCTTCCACTAGGCCGTTGATGCATCCAGTTATTTCAGACAATACCATCTTCCCCTAGCCTTCCAGCTGTATCTCCTATTCAGCCAGTTTCCTTAATAGATATCAGGCAGGGTTCCTGCAATTCACCATATTGAAAACATCTGGCAAAATTCAACACCCATTCATGATAAAATATTATCACCAATCTTAGAATAGATGAGGACTCAACCTGAGAAAGGGCATCTACAGAAAATGTACAGGTAACATTGTGCTGAATGCTGCATGACAATGTTTTTCCCTTAATGCTGAAAAATCACTTTGGTTGCAGAATGAAGAATGGATTGTGGAGAGATGGGTAAAAGTCAATGATATAATTGCATATGGCAATAGTTCAGGTCAAGATGAGAGCTTAGACTTGGATGGCAGCTATAGAAATGAGAGGTGTTTGGGAAGACTGAGCTCATTCACAGAGTGGTGATTATTCACAAATTGAGGGAGAGATCTGCTAGGCATTAGCTTACTCAGCTGGATGGATGGTGCTGCCATTCATTGGGCAGGAAAATTAGGATGATTTTCTCTATACCATGGCCCCCAAAAGTCATTTAGAAGAGTCTGATATCTGTAGAAGATATCTGTATTCAGAATGGAGGTGAGGTATTTTCAATTATATCAAACTGTGTTTACATACACAGGGCTTCCTGACTGCAGATAGTAATTGAAGAAAAAGCAGGTCTTATGAAATAAATTACTGGAAAGACATGTCAATACTGAAATACTGGAGAAGAGGGGAGAATGATATATTTCAAGGTGCTCTACAATAAAGCCCTTTGACATATTATTTGGTTTAAGTATTACCACAGTCATGTGAGATAGAATTTTTCTGATACCTGTTTTTAGATGATGATTTGAGTACCAATTTATTAAGTGACTTGTCCAAAACTATTCAATGGCAAAAGAGGTTTTTAAATTTAAATCTCCTGATTTCAGTGTCCCTAATCTTTTCAATGCTACAGTAAAAGTTAGTTTCAGCTAAGAAGAGAGTCATTGGAAGGAATTCAGGTCTGCAGACTGGGTCCTCTCTAATAGGCTACTTCTGTTTTCTCCAACCCAGCTAAATCCTACTCATCCTTTGAGGCCCTGTTCAGATTATTCATCTGTAAATCTTTTGCACCCATGCCTACTTACTGATTACTTCCATTTTTAAAAAAATAAACTATGTTATTTATTTATTTAATCTATATCACAGGTTTATTTGAAAGCTTCTGAGTATGAGGGTTCTTGTATCAAATGAGGATTCAAGAGGGGGATGAAAAAACTGTACTTGTCAGTTTAGAAAGTCACAGAGAGTTTATCATTCTATAATTAGATGGAGGAAAACGAAGAACCCACTGGAGCAGAAAGAAGCAAGAGTCTTCTAAGGTCTGGCATTTGATGAGATAGGCTTTCAGTTACTGTGCATTTCCGTTGTTTTTCCATGGCAGAACATACAGCAGAGATTTGGGAACTCGCGTGCCTGAAGCCAGGCTATTCTTATGTTCCATAACTATGTTGTTTGCAGGGCTATTGTTGTCCCAGTAGTGAGTTGTGCCCCAGACAGTTGGGGTGCTGGTCTGTTCCCACAAATCTTTATCCCAGTCTTCGTCGCAAGGAGGGCACTGCCATGTGCTCTCAGCCAGAGTCTCTTGTCTAAGGCTCCTGGTTTGGTTGACAACATCCTGCTCAATACAACTTCTGTCATCACAGCTTGAGATATGATGACTAATTTCAGCTCGAGGAACCTGGTGGTGAACATTGAAGGGACAAGTAGCCAATTTGCTTGCAATATCAGGATGGTTCTTTCTGCACTTGATAAGATGATAAGGAAACCTACAAGCTCTGATTTGATGGTTTTTATCATAGGGGCATTGCAATAGCTTCTCAGGGTCCAGGGAGTCGGTGTAAGTTTCTTCCATGTTGGAACTGAAGGAGCTGAATCCAAGTGCTTGGTCCACATAGGCTGTCCTCACAGCCGAGTTCGTTCCTTGTGCCAACTATATGTTATTTAATGTAATATGTTAAAGTAGTATAATTTCAACATGCTATCAATATAAAAATGATATTTCACATTTTCTCTACCACATATTTGAAATCCAGCATGTATTTTATACTTACAATGAATCATAATTGGAAGTAATCTCAATTCCAGTGCTTAGTGGCTAGTGCCTACTGTACTGGAAAGCACAGATCTATTGTCTAACCCCTTCTAACCTTCAGTGTGACACCTTAAAATGTGCAAAAAGAGGTGCATAATAGTTGGTCCAAATTAAATAATGCTCTGTTAAGTTGGGAAGCGAAAGACAAAATATCTTAGCATTTGGACCTGTTCTGATTACCAGTGAGACATTTTGCTGTGGTTGAAGAATGGCTATGCAAATCTTTTTGACATCAGTTTTACAAATAACTTTGCAGGTTGGTTTCCTCTTTCCATTACCTCATTGAAAGTCTGTCTGGGCACCTGGTCATTTTGCTCTCTTTCCCCGCTTAAGAGTTGTTCATTCTGCCATTCGGTAAATACCTGCTGACACCTTATTGGCCAAATGTGCTAGATGCAGGATGTCAAAGATATCCCATGTCTGCTTTCACAAAGCTTCCAAAGCAGTGGTTAAGAG